GATGCACACAGCTCAACTGGTGGTTTTGGGGCTGGGAAAAAAGGTACGGATGCATTCTAATGTCATAAAACTAAGACTTTGTCAGGTACCAATGAGTACCAATGATTTTCCCTGAGATGTACATTGTTGAAGTCTCTATTATCTCTAATATTCCTACATTCCCAAAAATTTCAAATGGGAACAATCAAACAATAATTTACATTATAAGTTATTTTTCAGCTCACTGTTTCATATGAAAAACAGAAAAGGAGAAAAACACACTTAAAATAATATAAATCAAAAGTCATTAAATATTTGCAATTTTTCCAGGACTGAAATAGGAAACAACATTTTTTCCTAGGCCTTAGTTATGGAGAGTATGTACTTGAACACTTGAACACACTTGTATGTACTAGACATTTTCCTGAACCTCATGCAACCTGTATAGCAGTGTTGAAGTTCCTTACGTTTTGGTGGTTCCTTAGGTTTTTCGTCGGCAGGCTTGGCGGCTGAAGCGGATGGTGACGTGTCAAAACGGACACGTTTAGGCAGGGGCGAGGCCCTCGGACCAGGCGTGCCCTGCCCCGGCCTCTTTCTGTCAAATGGAGATGAAACCTGAGGGAAAATTAACTTAACTTAGATATGATTTACACATAATAAGTTATAGGTTGCCCCAAATACTATCAAATTACTTAAGCCCTTGATGAATGATAAATCAAGGGCTATATGATAAATCGAATTACCTAACACAATGAAGAACGATAAAAGTAACAAATTTGCGAAGTCTGGACCCGAAAACGCCAAATTTCCATTGCAAATATCTTGGTCATAAACTTCAAACAAAAAGCATTTTCTTCCTTTCAGTGAACTCTTTCTGATGAGCTAGCTTGTAAATAGCTTACTGCAAACAAATTTTTCAACGCAATAGTACACCCCTACTATTACTAAATCATGCTCCTACTGAGTCCTAGACGTAGTATGACTAGTATGAGTGCATTTGCATGTGTGTGAATTGCCTTTTGGATTCAATGTTATATTATAAGTTTTACTTTTATGCTCCTGCAAACAAATGTATATGTAAGTCTTATCTAGAGATTCTCATTGAACAGATAGGTTTAATTCGGTCCGCCATGCATTTGACAGTGGAACTGCAGTGTTGCAGAAATACTAATCTATACTTAAAAGTTAAGAGTGCACACTTCAGACAGGTCTGAACCTGTGTCAATTTAAATATTATGGCCCTGTCATGGTTGAACTAGTATGTTTTTTGAGAAAAGGGCACTGTGCCTTAAAAAATACCTACATGTGAAGTTTATTATAACAATTTTACAACAGTCCTTTATTTAAGTTTATTGGGATGGGAGGTCTTAAATTATTGATGGTGCATGAAGTATACACCACAAGTGCTAAATTTAGAACAGAACTTGCAGAAGTACATATGCTAACATTTACTGTGCTCATTAACTCTGCCAGGAGTATACAATACATGGAAGTTTTCAAATGTAGATATTACTTTTCATCATTTTTATCAAACTTCCTTGTATTTAGTTATGCATGTGCAATGGATCTGATTGGCTCTCCTCAGATGTAGTCACACATACAACTTGTAATATCCATCTTTC